TAGCCGAACTACGTTGACTCTGATTTCTCGTTCCAGACGGGAATACGTAGGCATAAAGCGCGACGCTTTGCCGAGTCATTTTTCTTTTCTTTTTCAGCCAGCCTTGATAGGTAGATAGATTATAACCAACCCGTCCAAGTAAGCAAGCAAGCGAGGATCCCGTCGAGTACGACGGACGTGAGGGGTGCTAATACCTTCCCCTTGCGTAACCGACTCCCGAACCCAGACAATGGTTGCGATGACCTTGTCTTACCCTTATTCGTCAGGTTTTTCCGATCGTTTCCTTTCCCGCTCTGAGGGATAAATAACGAAAGGTGGCGACTCTTCTGTCATGCCGGCACCTTATTTTCGCGCAAGCGACACCATGTCATTGAAAGAGGTCTGGTCAAATTGTAAAAGAAAAATTTGTTGGGTGGTGATAAGGTCAAAAAACTGAAGTTTTGTGAACCTTGTGTATTTGGTAAATCATGTAGAATGAAGTTTAACAAAGGAAAACAAAGAACACATGGATCCCTTGATTACATTCATGTTGATCTTTGGGGACCTGTAAGGAATCCTTCACACTCAGGTCCAAAGTATTTTTTATCCATAGTTGATAACTACCCTAGAAATTTATGGGTATTCATCCAGAATACTAAGGATGAAACTATTGAAAATTTAAAAAGTTTGAAGACTTGGGTCGAAAACCAAACTGCCAGGAAGGTCGAGAGGTTAAGGACCAACAATGGTCTTAAATTTTGCAATGAGGCTTTCGACAATTGCATATGGTATTACAAGGCACATAACTACTACAGGGACTCCCCAATAAAATGGTTTGGCTGAAAGATTTAATCGAACCATTCTAGAAAGGATGATGTGCATGTCGGTAAGTGCAAGATTGAAGAAGGTGTTTTGGGTAGAAGTTGTTGTAACTGCAACATACTTGATAAATAGGCGTCCCTCGACAAAATTCCTCATCAACAAAGCATGAAATCAATAAATCATTTAATTTCAAATACTTTATAATGTAAACAAAATCATAAATGCAATCTCTTCAAACGTAAAAATACCAAACAATGAGAGTATACTTTAACTCTCTTCTCAACACAACATAAGATAAATTACAAATGTTTTCCTTAGTATTACATATCAGAGCATGTAAACTAAACACAAAAAAAAAGAAGAAACAACCTCATGCCATCTTCCACTCTAAGAAGCTACTCAATTACCTACTTATATGTACCCCGAACAAGAGCACAAACCATAATAACAACAACAACAACAACAAAGGGGTGAGAAATCACAAACAATAATAACAAGCATATACTGCAAAGTAGGATAATAACACATCATTCTCTACTAAAGTTTCATTAACAATATATCTCATAACAACCTCACACTCAAACTCATTAATTAATCACATATCAACAATTATGCATATAAATCATTATGCAATGCAACTTGACTATAAAACTATTTGCATATGCATGTGGTACCAACTCAATGTTCGGTTCTCTCTGGAAACCAAGTCCCAATCTTTTTGAATCCATGAGCCCCCTCTTTGAGCTCCAAGGCTCTATTTTGAGCTTGAGACAAGCCATTAGTCTCCTCTCTGAACTAACAAACATGCCTCCTGACACAACTCTTATGATGCATGATCATATCATCAAATCAATGTGTTAAGACCACTCTCTGATCCTAACATCAATTCACTGACAACTCAAGTAATCGCCTCTCAGGATTACATCACACCAAAATCACAAAATGCACATTATCAATCAACAGTATAACACAAACATGCTAATAATTCATCTCAACATAATTATATTTGAAACATGCAACAATACAAAAAACATAACTAAAAATAATTCATATTTATAACTTTACCATATTTTATACTTACTCTCAACGCTTAACATCTTGTCATAGCACATATTCAAATATTTGCACAACTCGTGAAACATATTCCTTAAACTCGCAGAACTCAACATTTACTCAATCAAACAATTTTTAATAATCATTATCATAAATTAGTCATGTTATAAAAAAACCAGCCTTTGAAATTATTACCAATTGATAGAAATTCCTGTTAACTTATCAACGCGTCTAACCGTGCCTCACTCCAAGTCACAAAACTGAAGTTTTGACGAAAACAGTTGGAAACAGAAAATTAATATTTCTGGAAAACATAACAACGGTAACCAGTTAACTAAAACTTGTAATCACTTACAGTTACAAAAATTTCAAAAAAAAAAACTATCAGTTCAGCTGTAACCGGTTACACCAACGTGTTAACTAGTTACCACTATACAAAAATGAAAATAAGTGCTATTTTTACCATTGGAGGACCTCCTAAACAGTGATTTCGATTCCGTAAAAACCTTCGATCTCAGAATTGGACACACTACGACTATTCCATTATTAAAACCCAATTTAACACATAAACTCCATTATTTTCATGAAAATCATTGATTTGTAAAACCTTCGACAATGCAACAATGGTGGAAACATCAAGTATAGAAATAAAAAAATAAGTCATGAATCGTGCAAAAATTAATCAATCATTATAGACAATTTTTATCATACAATCAGAAATTCATCCACAACATAAGTGTTTCATTTATAATTAAATTTGGACACTCAAATATTGTGTGTTCAATTTCATTCTAATAGAATAATCTAGGTCTCCTACGAGCAACTCGACTAATTCATGTTCACACACTTGAGTAAAGCACCTTAATTTCATTATCCTAAACCTGCTAAGATAGTTGTTTATTGATTCAACCACCTTTTGCCTCACATTGACTAATTCCTTGAAGCTAATCTTAGATTGACTCATGTAAAACTGATCATTGAATATCCTTTCTAGTTGAATCCAATTAAATACGGAATGTGGAGGCAACATGGTGAACCACGTAAAGACATTCTCAGGTAGAGAATTTGGGAAGAGTTTCATCTTTAAATTCTCATTGTTGGTTATGTCTCCCGCCTCAACTTGATACTGTGTCGCATGTTCGATAGTGAATTCATTAGTATTCCTTGCAAACATAGTAAACTTGGGGATTTTCCAATCCCTTGGAAATTCAGCCTGCATTACAAGGAGTCTGCGCAAAATGAATGTACAAGAAAAGAAAGAATATTTGCGAATTGAATGTGCACATTGCGCAAAGACAAAAATGACATAAGCTTTAATTGGGGGAAAATATTGGATAAATTCAATGAACAATAAAATAAAATAAATGAAATTTGACAAAGACATGCAGTAAGTGACATTAAAACAAGCATATTCTAATTAAGAAAACATAAAGACAAATAAAAGAAAGGAACGCGTACTCATGTTCCTTACAAATTATTTTGCTATTTAGCTCAGGTACTTTAGTTCTATAAAGAAATGTTTGAATTTTATGATCTTTAGTATAATGCACGAGTCTGCTACTTATATTATTCTAAAGATAACTATCAGTGGTGGTTATTTTCCAAAGAATGGGACATGTATCCCACTACTCGAACCTTCACGTTCTAACTTGTTTTCACACGTCTTCAGAGGGTGTAACTATTAAGAATCCAAATGTCATGCTGATAATTGTCTTTCAACATGCTTCAAGTTTCTCAACTCAAACATATCTGACTCAGTTTCAATTGGGTTTGTTGAAACATTCTTTAACTTCACTAATATTTAGACTTATGAAATATGTTAAGTCCTAGATAACCAATGATCTTGTCGATAATCCTTTTTGAAACTTTGAAAATATTTAGAGGAAAAAGTGATCATATTCTTATAGATCTGTTCACTATGCTTTGTCGAACGCTTCTCATCGACGTGGTTGATAAGTTGAAACCACTTGTGTGGAAACTCCTCAACACTTAGCATCTTACAACATAATTAACTAGCATGATTTGTTTTAAAAACTCCCTCTAATGAAACTTTCTGTTTTAAGAACTCCCTCGTATAAATAATATGAGTGATGTAGTGTTGTTTATTAAATAATCTAAAATATACTAACATTTTATTTAAATAAAAAATGGCATGAAAACATTCAGGAGACTTTTATTTAATTTTTTCCACAGACCACAGCACTATTTTTTGTTGGTCAGTTTTAACATTATATGTTGTGTTGTTATTTAGGCGATATCATAGTGGTCTAACTTATGCTAGTATGTCAAAATAGTTTTGACTGACTGATGTGTAAATTTCAACATGAAAAGAATTTTAGACATATTTTCTCAAACAACAAAAATAAATAGTACAACTGTCGGTGATGGAAGGGCCATTCATAATATATTCTCTTTCATTCTTTTTCGCACATGATTCTATGTCTCTCTCTGTCAACTACCCATGAAAACGATGATAATCAATTCTTTTTATTATTATTTAGGCATGATAATAATAGAGATTTTATCTTATAGTTTAAAAGTGAAATGAAATGAATTAAATATAAAATATGATAAAATAGAGATTTTATGTTAAAGTAATAGTGAAATTAATATATATTAAGTGTGAATGAAGACGAGGTATATTAGCATTGAAGTGAATGATGAGTTGAATAAATAGTAGTAGTATGCACATGCAGAAACATGCACATCTAAATATGTTAATATTAACGACAAGTAATGCACCGACAGATGTAGTATCATAACAGCCCATCAACACGGTTTACCTCTTTTTGTCTTTGTTTCATAATGAAATTCAAACCCTACCAAAAATTAGTGTGGTAGATTTTTTGAAAGGCAACAAAGGCAGATATATATAGCACCGACACCCAACAGCTGGTAAAAAAATCATTCGATGATTGCAATCCACAAAACACCCTACTTTTATTATACCCATACAGAATAATTACGTACAAGCTTCTTTGTCACTTTATGGCGGACAATACACAATTACACAAACAAGAATATTAATTGTACATAAAAAATAACCAAATTTTATGGAGGAATGGAATCATCTTAACACTAATTTATTTAAAGATGCATCCAAAAAAAATAATTAACACTCGCCGTGGCCGTGAAATGGATCAACATTATATCACTGTTTGTGGGTTTGGCGTGTAGGTTTGAGGAAGATGAGAGTCTTGAGAATGGGTGATTCTTTTTATCTCAGAACGCATCCTGTAGAAAACATGTTTCCAACTTCCTCTCTCGCCGGATGCCAGGTGCTTTGTTTCCTGCTCGTTCATTTCTAGATCTGTTGCAAAGATAGGTTTCCTGGAGAGGATCCAGGCGAAAATCCAGAGCCACCATGTTTTTACAGAATCACCTACGGATGAGAATGAGGAGGGAAGGGACTTGGATCTGGGAAATGACCAATTAGCTGCTGCTGCAGGGATGTTGTTGAGGGAGGAACTCGATAGACGTCTGCGAATGCCTCCTCCTCCTGCATCATCGCCCGTGGTGGATACAGGGAGGGCATTTCCGCTTCTATTGGGAAAGAAGCTTCTGCTCATGATGATGATTATTAATTCTTCTCTTTCTTTCTCTCTCTCTGTTTTGTGTTTATTTGGTGGTGTGCGTATTTGTTACTAAAACCTTGGTAGCTTTGTTTGTGGAGATAATATTATGGTGAAATATATCCTTCACACCTCTGTCACAGCCTGTTTATTCCCTTTGTGGGCTCTACTTCTACACCATTTTCTCCCATTGCTATTTTATTCCAAAATTCATAGAGAAATGATAAGATTACACTTAAAATGCAACTATGAATTTAATTGGTAGGTAATAATTACACGGTCATTCAATAGAAATATATTAATTTGTTATGTCATAGAGTTAATTTAAAATTTATAATATGATGTGGTGGGATACATGGGAGTGATTGGTTGACCGTGTAAAATAATTTTACATTGTCAAGTTTATATCAATTAAATTCTATTTATATACCATTATATATATCTTTTGTTATTTTAATTTTTTTTTGGTTTCTGTGTCACTCATTTTTTTTAAGCAAACTGAATTTACTAAAAAGAGTACGAAGGATGTTCAACTCGTACAAAACAATAATAATGAAGATGGAATAGATTTCCGTCAACGTTAAAACAAAACAGACAAATGGAATTACATAAAATAATACCTCTTCTCAATAAATTCTATTTTGTAGGCAGTCTGGCCAACAAACATCTCCAACTGAAAAATTGAATTTTACTCAACGCCTTCGATCTCCAAATATCAGACAACTCTTTAAGAATCAAAGTTTCTATCACATTCACTTTCACATTGTTCGTAGGTAACTGTAAGTAACAACTTAATGTCGAGAAACCTTTGAAATCCAGGTTCCAAACAAATGCATCTTCTCCCAAACGCTTCGGTTGCACATTGTTTAAAAGTTAATATAACTTCAAGATCTGGTCCACCGCCTGAACCAATATAAAACTGTTAATTCCTGAAAAATTTCACACCTAATTATCCCATATCCACGCACCCATAGACGCAATAGAGGCCGATCCCGTAACACAGACACTGCATAGATCTGGAAAGGCAACAACAAGTGGTTTCAGACCAATCCATGCATGTTGCCAAAAGTCTAATATAATGTCATCTCCAACTTTCTCGCGAATGAAACTATTGAACTAATTAATATTCTGATTGAAAATTGTTCCAATACTCTTTATGTCTCTCCACCACAATGGTTGCTTACGCATTACCGCATTTGAAACATAATAAAAGGAAAGAATGTTGAAATTTAAATTTGCGTACATTTCCTTTAACAGCCAGGTCCATAAATTATATTTCTCATCCAATATCCGCCGTAACCATTTACTGAGAAGTGCAATGTTAAACCTCCCGACATGTTTGATCCCGAGTCTTCCATCTTTTTTAGTCTTACAAATGTCGTCTCATCTTACCCAATAAACCTTCTTAACTTCATCGACCTATCCCCATAAAAGTCTTTGTTGAATAGATATTTATTGTTGCACAACGACTTTTGGAGCCTTGAAAAAAGAAACAAAATATACCGGAATATTAGTCAAAACCGCATTCAACATTGTTACTCTTCCAGCCAAAATATAGGGACTTGTCATGCCACTCTAAAAGCCTCTATTCCATCTTTGCAATCATGAGATTCCAAGTAATCTTCCTACGATGATTAGTTCCAATCGACAGGCCCGAAAACAGTAACAGAATGGTTCCAACTTTGCACGAAAGGAATGTGGCAGCAACCTACAAAATATCTGAAGAAATATTTACACCAAAGACCAAATTTTTGTTCAGATTCAGACTAAAACCGGACACCGATTGCAAACCTCGAAGAATAGCTTTCAAACTCCATAAAATTTCCCACTTTCCATCACATAACACTACCATGTCGTCTGCAAACTTCAACAACTTAAAGTGTACCGACTGACCCACCTTGACACCATAAAATTGCCCCAAATTTACAGCATTTTGCATCACCCCTGTTAACCCTTCAGCAATAATAAAAAAAATAAAGTGAGAGATCACATCACCTTGTTGAATCCCTATACGCACTACAAAATCCTCTGTTGGGATTCCATTTATAAGAATCGACATAATGTTATTGGCGATCAAATTGTTCATCCAAAGTAACCATCTTGAACCAAATCTCATATGCCCTAAAATGTTTCTCAAATAATCCCACTATAAGCAATCGTAAGCTTTTGCAAAATCAACCTTTATAATTAAACATTCCATATTTCTCCGCCTTGCAAAATCTAGCACCTTATCTACCACTAAGATACCATTTAGCATTTGCCTTCCTGCCAAAAACGTCGTTTGAGATTTTGATATCATATTATTCAAAATCTTTTTGAGTCTATTTGCCAAAATCTTAGACAAAATCCTATACAGGCTACCAATAAGACATATTGGTCTAAAATCATCAATCTCTTGAGGGTTATCTCCTTTCAGCACAAGAGTAAGAAACAAAGCGGTTATTTCCTTAGGAACCCTGCCACACTCATGAAACTCATTAGCAAAACTGAATAGATCATCTTTAAGAAAATCCCAGCAAACTTTAAAGAATCCCAAATTAAACCCGTCCGGTCCCAGAATTTTGTCTTTATCTCCACTCCAAACCACATCTTTAATCTTTCCATGGTAAAAGGTTTTTCAAGAAACATTTTATCCTCCAAAGAAAGTTGTCTAAATAACACACCATCCAACTTAGGACAAACATAATCGGTTTCATCAAACCTACTTTCAAAATGGCTTTTGAATTTCGATTTCACTTCAAGCACGTGCTCAATTCTACCTCTAACAGTATTAAGACCCACAATGTTATTCCTCCTAAGTCTTGCCTTCATAGAATTATGGAAAAACTTCATATTACTATCACTCTTTTTGATCCATAAGCTTTTAGACTTTTGTCTTATAATGCTCTCTCTATTGTGCAATGATTTCCACACCTTCTTTATAGCCTCCCCTCTCTACCTTGCAAAATCACGCTCCAAAGAATTTTCTTCCGCCATCTCACCAATGGCCGCTAAGTTGTCTAACAATTTAAGATCCTCAACAGCACTATCCACTTCTAAGTTGATAAAACCAAAGACATTCTTATTCTACTTCTTCAAAACTCCTACAAATAACCTCAATTTCTCTTTCAAAACAGACGCAACTTTACTTATAACTCTAGTTGACTCCCAAAATTCCTTCATTAAAGGAACCAAATCGTCGTTCTTTAACCAATAATCTCTTTAGTCATCTCCAGAGATCTTCCTTCCAACAAACACAAGGAAGGTCCTAAAGGAGTAATGTTTAAATCGAAATACCCCTCCACATTAAGAAGCCCATACAACTTAGAATTAATAATATTTCAGTTTTTTAAATGATAAGTTACTTGTGAAATATAATAAATAATTATGTATAATTGTATTTTTGAATTTTATAGATAAAAACATAATTATAAAATAACTTTTTATCAAATTTTTTATGAAAAAATGTAAAAGAAAGATAATTAATAATTTTGTTTAATTCAACAAAATCACACAGTTAAAGAGTTCGGATCTCAAATTCAATAAAATTATGTTAAATAAGTATTTATAAAACTGTATTTTATAAATTAATTTTAAAATAAAAAAAAATCATTTGATTAAATAAATGTGTAGAGTATATTTTAACAATTACACAAAATAAAAAACTTAAAAATAAATAAAATAGAAATTTATTTGGAACAAATTTGCCGCCAAATTGATTGAGGTTTTGTCGGTGTAGCTACCTGGAGCCATATGAAGTCCAAGTGTAATAAATGGTAGTCTGTATTTGTCTAATTATTAACAACAATAATAATACTTGTATACATGTGACTATCTTATGTGACTTAATGCTTTATTCTCTTTTCTCTCTTGGACATCAACTACTAGCATACCATAATTTCATATGCAAAAATATTAATCTGAATTATTTATGATCCTATTTTATTGAATGACCTATTGTCTACAATAGAATCTTGAAACACCAAAATATTTAAATAAGAAAAAACTGATTAATTCATAGACTTTAAACAATTTGAATTCGAATATATAAGTAATGAGCCATGGATGTTTCAATTTAACAAAGTATTTAAAAAAAGTAAGGGTGCAAAAAGTAAAGATAGATGAAAAGTAAACGGGCCGAGAAATGTTGGTGTAGGCCCAAAGTGGGCTATTAGTTGTGTAGCCCAAGAAAAAAGTTAAGACGAGAGATAACAGAGAGTGAGAAATGAGATCTGTTTGATTCGAAAATGGAAGTTTGAAGTGAGTGTGCGAGTCATAGATCTCTTGTCTTGTATTAGTAAAATGGAGTACAGAAAAATCAAAGATGAGGTGGGTACTTTGATCCATTTCTCGAATTGATTCATATTTTATAAGATAATACAATTTTTTGCATTCTTATTGTTTAGGATACAGATATAGATAGAGATGTGGAGGTTGAGGATGTTGAAAAATCAGGTATGGTAATGCTGCTACTATGCTTCTTCTTCATTCTCTTGTCTTGTCTTATACTAATTCTCTACACTTGCAGTACCTTCCGCCTCCGGAGAACCCAAAATTGACACTCACAAGACCAAAGCACAGTGGAAGCGCAAGTATGTATGATCATAATTTTCCCATTTCTATCTCTAATTACTTTTCTTTCGTTTCTTTATTATTTTCCCTCTTCAGGTCCCTTGTTACATTTGCATTGACTATTCTTACCAGCTCCCAAGCCATTCTAATTGTTTGGTCTAAGAGAGCTGGCAAGTATGAATATAGTGTTACTACTGCTAATTTTTTGGTATGTCTTCTTCTACTTTTCTCAACCTTCTGCTTCACAACCCTTCAAACTTTCCTTTATTCTCATATGCTTATTATAGGTTGAGACTTTAAAATGTGCTATATCCCTCCTTGCCTTGGGAAGAACATGGAGAACAGAGGGCGTCACCGACGACAACAGGTCATACTTTTATATAAATCAATATTCTTGGCTGCTTAATTACCTCGAGGAGACTTTTGTTTTTAACTTTGTGAGCCTG